CTGTTGTCCTCCTCCGTCACTGACCCTGGCTCGCTCGGAGGCCTGTCAGCTGAGCCCACGCTTCGCCCGCTCCGAAACGGAGTCACAAAGGGAACCTCGAGTTACCCAGACCTACAATGGAAAGGATTAGCTATAAGCACTGTGTCTGTGTGTGCTTTTCAAGCTAATACAAAGCTTGACAGCCAGATGTGACTTATACTTTGAATATTTTGTCTGAAGATCTCCATTTTGAAATATTTTTGTTTTGCCTCCTCCTCCCATCTGCCTGGTGTCCTGTATCCGTGCCGAACAGGCGCTGCCTATGCTATTGTTAGACACTCAGATCATCAAAGGTCTAGCAGCACTGACATTTTACAAGTATCTTCAGCTGCCTCTCATGGAGGGGCGTCCTTAGCATTATGAGATATGTAAGTTTAATTAGAATGGTTTTCACCAGGAAATCTCCTTCTGTAAGAAATCAGAGTTCTGCACTATTCCAAGGAAATAACAGGGAGCTTTATAGCATGCCTGTGCTGTTACAGCGAGTCAGGAAGGGTGAAACGTGTGTCGGAAGAAAAAAAAAAGCACAGGAAACATGCAATCAAGGCCAGCCATATCAAGCCCGTTCATGGCAGAGAGCCAGTCCCCAAGTTTCAGGTGACCTGCGGGCTGGCGCAGCGCTGGCCGGTTGCTGCCCTCTATGTGCCTGCTCACAGCAGAGCACGCTCTGCACCGAGGGCTCAAACAAGTCACAGAGCTGCCCCACTGCCTTCCCAGGTCCTGCAAATCCCTGCTGTCCATGCGAGCTCCGTGTAGCTGGACACCAGCAAGCAGCAGTGTTTCCTGGTGGAGCTTCCCTGTACGTAGTGCTCCATGAAGAGCAGGCGGGTGCTGTGCGGTCGCTTAGCGCGCGAGCCAGTGCATCCCTTCCGGAGCCGCTTCCTTCCCTCGGCTCCCATGCGAAAGCCAGCACCGTCCACCAGCAGAAACGCAGCCTGCAGACCTGGTAGCTGGAGGCATTTTCAATCTTCCCAGGCTGACCTTTGAGCACAAAGGTGGAGGACGAGTTTCAGGGTCACGGAGAGCACGGCCAGCCCGTTCGGAGAAACTCCTCACCGCAGTTCAATAAAGCCAGACTGCACCCGGGAGACCTGCAGGGAATGCCCAGATCTGCGGGAGCAGTTACGGAGGTCGTGACAAATGCTTATTTGTTTGTTTCATGCTTCTCAGAGAAAAGTCACTGAGCGCGATGTTCCAGAACAGCATAAGATGATGTTAACCTTTTGTTACCAACATCTCTAACAGAAATTAGCTTGAGAATTGATACTTCAGTGAGGAATCAAGTACCTGAAACTGCAGGTAGGTTCTGCTGTACCAGGCTGAGACTTTACTGTGCTGATCTACACAACATTCAGATTGGAAAGACTTTTTTTTTTTTTTTTTTCCCCAGAAGCTTACAGTTTTTAATGAAAGGTGAGATTCAAAATATGGCACATAGGCCACACAGCTCTCAGGAGGGCCAAATTTGGCATCCCTGATATAAAACATAGCAAAGAAAACAACCCACTAAACAGTAAGTATTCCCTATAAATAGCTACTCTCTAGTAGTCGTCAGTCTGTGGTTTATGAACAAAGAACTGAGTAAAAACTCAGTTTTTACATAGACTTCATTGAAAGATTTTTGCATTGATTGATTGAGTGCATGAGGTACTTGAGCCAAGCGAAACAAGAAATATATTCCTGAGGCATGAAAAGGCAGAAAGAGAGTTTTCTTACTGAAATTTATTTTTTCCACATTACTTAACAGTCTAGAAGATTAATAGCCTTCTGCCAGTACTTCCCACTGGAAAAAAAAAAAAAAAGTATATGTAGTTTTTACTCAGCCAAACAATGTAGTAATCTTTCAGGTTGCTTTAAAGCTCTTGGAAAAGGTCAGGTGTCACAGCCACCTTGCCTTCAATGAAAAAAAGGCAATAGAGATCCCTTATGAAACAAGGGATTTATATCAGTAGGGACTACTGCACAATAAATAAATAAATAAACAACAAATGGCAAGGTTTCAATAGATGGTGAATCATGTGGCCCAAGGGATTTTTCAGGATTTTTTGGGAGCAGGGAGTGTTTGTGTGTAAAACACCAGCCCATGAGGACCAGATGGTAGAGCTCTGTATGTGCGAGGAAAACAGCAAGAAATGCTACAAAATGGATGCTGAGAAGCAGCTGAAAGTCAAGGAGACTGGGAGCTTTGATACTCACTCACTTCTTGAATTGAGTGATGGCTGAAACAGTCTTGGAATTGTTGGGTCTTCTGAGTTAAAAGATACATCATTCTGTGTATTTGTTTTACAAATAAACTGAATTAACCTTGAATATATTCCTAGCTTCATCACTGGCTTCATAACCTCATACTGTTACCAAACTCTTTGTCACCAAATCTCCTTTCCTATCTGCCTGTTAGTTCACACTCTAAATTCTTTGTGTCGGAGATTATTTTTAGTATTCTTTCAGAGTCTGTCTTTGCAATAAGACTGTAAACTCTTCAAGGAATTTTCTCTTACTTTGTATATGCAGAGGTGTAGTTCAACAGGAATTCATCACTGACATAAGACATAATTAATGTTACTGGTAATGTTCAAGAATAAATATTTAAGAATTACTATGCACACAGTTAACTAAGTCTGAGTTATGTCCTTTGACATAAAGGGGACTACTTGTTACTATATTTATGTTTAGTGTTTGTAAAGGTGGAGTCTATATTACTAAGGAGAAAATTCTTAAATGTAGAAAAGTAGTTTTGAAGGCATTCTAGAAGGACCAGGTCCCCGATCTTGTCTTGCTTTTATTACCATATAAACTAGTAATATGAGTATGCAGCAGGTGGCGTTTGCTAATACTTTTCTCTGCAATTACGGATACAAGGAAGTATCAGTAACCTGTTATTTTGCTGGCTAATTGAAATAGATATATTTTCCATTAGAAATACTATTGTGAGCTATGCTCACCTGCCTAAGGGCATGCACTACAACAGGGCTGCAGCGACTGGAAATGTCAAAGGTGTTCAGAGTTCCTGCAGACAGAAGGATGATTCTGACCGGAATATTTCCTCAAATCTGTTAACCTGTTCCTATTTAAAGAAGCATTTTGTGAGCAGAAGAATTTGCAGTTATGTTTCTCTCCCCTCCTGACTTCCTGTCATCACAACACTCACAGGCTTCTAGTATTTTTAAATCTCAGTCTCCTTGTCTATTTAAAGCATATTAGACCATGAAGTCAATAGTCACTCACAGGGGACAGATGGAGACACAGCACAAGGGTGCAATTACCGCTCCCTTAGGAAGTCAGGCCACAACGTGCCTTGAGTTTCTTATACAGCATCAGAACTGCCCAGGAGGTTGGTATTTTGAGAAATACTGGCTTAATCACCGTATGCCCTCAGACATGCTTCGTTTTGTGACTCTTGCATAAAACAAGAAAATCACCTAACAATGATGCACAAAACACTTTTACCACTAAAAACCTTTCACAGAAATCATCAGGCCAAAAAGCCGATGAAATACCACAGTCAGTTACGTGAAGACTAAGAAGCTTATCTGCTCATTACATCGTACCACTCCAGTGGTTTTGAGCTAGGTTCAAAGAAATCATTTGAGAGAAAAAAAAATGAGGAAATTTGAGGAAAAATTCATTTCTGGACCATTCATTCCTGAGCCATTTTGGGAATGCTCTCAGCCACTGGAGTCTACAGGAGCTGATGACTTTTACTGCCTTGCAGATAAGATACATATGATCATGGCCCATAAGGTATCTTTCTGACTGCTTGTCTATTCTACATGCTTGTGTTTACATTTTCTTAATGAAATTGTTAGCTTTACATAGGTGTGAATTTGGCTGCCTTTTATTCTTTATTGGTATTAAATGACACTTTGCTGGTGGTTTTGTGTCCCTGCTCCCGCTCCCTGTTACTGAATCACCTCTTTCTTTCTTTGTTTGCCCTCTGCGTAAAGCAGGATCCTTCTTGAGAGATTATTCCAGGAACACAGTCACATTTTGCATTCAGTCTGGAAGGCCATCTAGTGACACAAACATGCAGGAGGAAGTGTGAAACCCTGTTTGAATTACTTTTTTTTTTTCAGATGAATTAAAGAATTTTTTATACTTGAGCATGTATTTGTTGGTATTTCCAAAAAGTGGTATTTCAAAAAAATCCGGACTTGATTTCTTAAGGAGTGGCTGGATTTGTTTGAGATAGGGCACACCATTAATGTCTGTTAGAAAGAAAATAATTTTCAAATCCACACAGTTTTTCAGAGAACAGTGGCAGATTTGTTAAGAAATCCTACTACAACCACAGCATCATGAACGCGGATCGGCACCAACTTTACCTCATCCTTTGGCCTCCCTCCCTTCGCACCGGCAATTTCAGCGTGTGGAAAGCGCCGCACGTAGGTGTTCGCGAGCCCTGTGATCGGAAACCTTAACTTCACTTTCATCCGAACCGCGGTTCGCCTGGCCCGAATTGCACCGAGGCAGCTTGGGGGGTACCTGAGGAGGCCTCTGCACGGCCCTCTGCCCCGCTCGGGCCTGGAGCCGCCCCGGGG